GTCTCGCTGGCGCTCGACAGCGCCCACCTACCCACAGATATTGCCGCACGAAGGGAGCCATGATAAATTCCAGAATTAGAGATGTTTCGAATTTGCCTGCAAGTTTTCCGGGCCGCAGCAAAGGTGTTCCAAAATTGCTTGAAATGCGCAAGGTGCTTTTGAAAAAAGCTGGAGTTTGATGGAATACTCAACAACACTTTGCAGATTTGAAAAGGTTTTCGTCAATTTGATTAGATTGATTGGAGAGAGAACCGCCCTGCTTCAAAGCCGGCGAAATTGCCCAGTTTATAGCTTGTTGCACGTGAGTCAAACCAGCGGACCCATCAAATCTGCGCCGAGACGACAGCAATAGGAGACCTGTCCGACCCGCAGCCTGCCCGCTTGATATCTTTCGGCTGCTTGAGCTTTTTGTTGCCAGCAAATAGTAACACTGGTAAGAATACACAGAATAAGCCTGGGTTGCCGGGTTGCAAATGGAGGGAGCTCCGCCCCTCCAGCCCTCCGTTTTTTTCCAAAGCCGGCCACGGGCCTGCTGTCAAGAACATCCAAAGAGCTTGCAGCAAGAGAGATCCCACAAATGGGAACTGCCCTGTCGCTGCAAGTAAGTCAAGCGCAGCGGACCCATCATGTCTTGTGTTTACAAATGCGGAAGCTGCCCCCCCAACCCCCCGCTTTCTTTCTGAGCCGGCCGCAAGCATGCCGTCAAGACTATTTCCAACAAATAGGAAATTGCGCGGTCATACAGGCATTCTGATGTGGACCTTAGCATCCTGCCAGAAAAAACGGAAAACATATGGAACATGGTGTTTGTAAAGGAACAGGCGACATGGGCTTTTGTGCTTGAGATTTTTTGTCCATGTCGATCTTCCGATTCAACTCCTGGAGTCGCCGTGCATGGAGTCTGAGCCTGTGCAGCGTCAGTCGCCGTGACAACTAGCAATGTCAGCCGTGGTGACAACTACAAACGCAAGCGTGGCTGCGAGAGCCCAAAAGTCGCGAAGGTGCACATGCCGACCATGGCTTCCATTTTGCATGGTAGCTTGATGTCCGAGAGACTGGATTCGCAGCTCATGCAAGCCGTGCCAGCTTGTTGTCAAACACATCACGTAATCAAAAATGTGCGTCAAGTAAAACTCTCAGAGAACTTTTCAGCTGCATGCATTCGGTTTTATTGTGGATGTTAGGTCCCATATCTTCTGAAACACTCTCGGAGTTCATGGCTCTGGGTTGTCCATGGAGAACTTTTCAAAACCCATCATACGGGCATCCTGTTTGGAAATGGGGTGGGGCTGCCGCCCCCCCTCAACCCGCTGCCTTTTTAGAGCGTGCAAGCTCGTTTCGACTTTTGACTGCCAGCCAGCACCATCCGAACCCATATGGACCCTTGCAGAACTCGTGATTTTGTGTTTGCAAATGGGGAGGGCTGCGCAGTAGCAGTAGGAGTAGCGATAGCGGTAGCGGTAGCGCTTGCGGTTATATGGTAGCAGCAGCAACAATAGCAGTAGCAGTACAGTGCATTGACCTTCGTATTGTTAACGATAACAGTAGTAAGAATGATTAGGGGTGCCGGGGGAGAGCGGGGGGGGGGTCGGAATACGAGGGATCGGGGCTACAAAAGACATGCCGGGGCTGACTTGAACATGTGGGGTTAAGAAATTCGGGAAGGACACTGGTCACTAGCGCATCGTTGGGGTCAAAAAAAGCACTTCCCCGGATGAAACTAGCAGCCCGCAGAACAAACTGAGCTCGTGCTCATGTTGTGCTGTGCAACAACTGCCCTGCCATGCTTCTGGCGTTTGGGCGCGTTGTCGGTTACGCTTTGGTGGTTGGGCCTTGTCCTTGCATTCGATCCCTTTCTTTTCAGAATTTGATTGTGGATGACATCGTCTCGGAGCACGGCAGGTTGCAGGCTAATTATTTTTTTTTCGGGTGTTTTCCCCGGTTGGCCAGCCTTGTTCAAGAGTTATGCGACATTTCTGCAACGCCAATCCCGGACCAACCCCGTCATATTTGGAATAGAATTTACCGCACGCACTGACACGACAGTATGATGAATTTACTGTTGTCACAATGTATCCGACATGAAACGGAATCTTCAAGTCGCGGGGTATTGCCTGCTTGGTCTTTAAACAACAGGACAGAACATGCCAAGCATGGATCAAAGCTTCCCAGCTTCTGACACAGCACACAGCCCTGTTTGGTTCCAGTCGAGAACATTGCAATCCCCTTAGTAGAGGCTCAAAAGTTTATACCCGTAAGTCTTGGATGTCCAAAACAGGCGCCAACCCGGTTGCAGCCCTGCGCTGGTTGTGGCTCGAACAGCCTGACATGCGGGCGCGCTGCTTGTGCAGCTTTTGTCCATTCCCCCAACCACGAGTCAACCCTTCTGAGGACGAGCATTAATAGCATGGTGGAAGAACGATGATGCGCAATAAAACGATGTCATTGCTTGCGGCTGGGCGACGAACACACCAGCTGTCTACTCAAGTTCACTGCAGAATCTCAAGCATGCCTTAACTCGCATGTTATTTCAGTCCTCCCCAGTTCCAAAAGGACGCTGGTCCCCTCAAAGGGCACCGCAATGGGGAGCCAACTTTCGGCAGACCCGGGAAAAAGCCGATCCCGAGTCTTGCCATGGAGCTGTCCGAGCTTTCGCAATCGATGCAAGATGCACTCATGCTCAGGCGAGGGGTGGGCCTCACGATCAGGGTTTTAGGATTTGGGGTTGGTTGTTTGAGACCAGGTTAGTGGTATCGTATCCAGGGTTGAACTGTCAGGCTTGCGGGTTCCACAGCAATTGTGTGGGCTTGAAATTTTCAGATTTTTGCCTTCGTGACCATATATTGATCCGGTAATTTGTGCAGGCGCATTCCGACAGAGGGCGGAGATGTATCGTCTGTGACTCCGGTGGTCGTTTCCGGACTGCCTGGCTGGCTTGAGGGTACCACCTTTCCAGTCGAACTGCGCCAACGAGTGCAGGAAGAGTTAGAGATTCTGGGGCTGGTTCAGAACCCTGTGGTGGCGTTGCTGTGGCCTGCCAGTGCCACTGTGACCAACAAAAAGACGTTGCGCCGTGGGTATTCCACTGCCTCTGCCCTGTACCCCAGCCGGCTAAACAAGCTGTGTGAAGAGTCCGGCATCTCCTTAAGCATCCGTCTGGTGTCTGACAGCCCGTGGCCATTAGTGAAATCAGTGGCGGTCGAGTGTAACATGGAGTTTGGCAGAGTTATTCAACAGACATCCTCGTACATATCTGATGCTGACTGGGCTGAAGACCTTACGTCGGCACGACAGCATTGGCAACAGCAGCTTCTGGCGGGCTTGTCCAAGTACACTGAGAATTTGGAGGTGCAATTACCAAGAAAAGCATTGTCGTCAACCACCCAGACGTTTGCAAGCCGTACACGTCCCGAGGAATCCCTCTGGCAAAAGCATGGGCCCAAGGCCCTAGCCATTCTGCTTTCAGAGCTGATCGTGAATGGTGCAACGCACGATGCCGCGACCCACCTGGAGGGCACGATGCTCGAAACGATGCGCTCCAACCTTCCTTTCTTCCCTGAGGGCCCCTTGGACTTCGAGGAGCACTTCCCGCCCCTGCAGCTTTCGGACGCCTACATAGAAACGGAGAAGCAGCAAAGCCCCGAGCTGCTCCTTGCGGCCGCATCCCAGAGCTTTGGAAGACACGCAAAGCGATCTAGCCTTGCAAGTAGAAGTAGTATCCGAGTTCCATGCTTTTTTTGTCCCAAAACAGACACAGAGGTTCCTTCGTCTGGCAGCAGTGGTCTGGACAGCAGCCTCGCATGGAGTGACGGCCTTGGACCAAGCCCTTGGGGCCCTGCGGAAAGGCAACGTCCCCTTGGACCGGCTGGCGCTCAACACGCCGGTGATGTATCGCTCCGGAGGCCGAAGCAGGAGCTTGTCTGGACCGCTGCTCATGTTTGTCGTGGACCAGATGACTCTGCACCAGTCGTCGAAACACATCGTCCAGGCAGTGGTAGCTGGCAACGCGGACGTGAACTCGAGTTATGTCCTTTTCCCCACCGGGAAGCACAAGGCAATAGCTAAATTCCCGGTGCTCTGCCTGGCCGGCAACCGCCGAGCTCTCGACTTCGCGGAAGCCTGGCAGCACATGTGTAAGACATGGACTAGGAGAACGAGAGTAACTGGAAAGGTGTCTTTGGTGTTCACTTCAGGAAGCTTTGCTGGAGCGGAAGGCGGATGCCAACCGCGAGATTACTCTGAACTACTTCCCGAACGGGGGGAATCCTCTTTGGAGCGCCGTCTGGGGCAGCAACAATGCCATGATCCGGCTCCTCCACTAGCAGCGCATGTAGCTCTCTTCTCCTTGTTGGAAGCTTTTGCTTTCGACTGAGTGAGACCAAGGCTCCTCCTCGGCTTTGGCGATGCGAACGTGAACATACACGCCTGGCATCCCGATGCCCCGCCTCTGTTACTGGGCCCATCTCAGAGTGCATTTAGATTTGGATTTCTTTCAGCTTTCGGGTTGAGTCTTCCAAAAACCTGAGCCGTCCAAAGGATGCCCATGGTGTTGCACCCAGGACAGGCCAGCCGCGTGAGGTTCAACTGCTTTCCCTGGCCTCTACGACTCTGGACTCCGAGCATGTCCACCTTCTGCTGGAGTGCAACGCTGACTTTCAAGAGGACATGGACTTCAGTTGGCTTTAAGTGGGTTGATCGGTTGTTCCGGCTTTATGCAGTGCTATTCGTTCGGGATTGAAGCTCTGGACCTCTCACAACTCCGAATGCACTGCCAGACGATGTCGCGAGCATTAGGAGCTGTCGTCCACCTTCGCACTGTGCCACGCAGATGTGAGCAAGTTGCTTGCAAGCCACGTGGCCTACCGCCACCCCGAGGCGAGGCGCGGTACTTGCGCATGTCTTCGCAAGGCCGAGATTAGAACGCAGCCCACCCTTAAATCCGACAGAACTTCCTGAGCTCTAGCAGCTGCTTAGCAGCTTCTAGCAGCTAGCAGCTGTGCTGTTTCCGCCTTGACCCACGATTGCAATGTAGCCCGCCGTTCCTCCACAAGTCTGGAGGCACTCGTCCAACGCTGCGACGAGCTGGATGCTTGCCTTGTTGGGTCTTTGCGGCTTCGGGCTTGGGAGTGGTTGAGGGCCGGGCACCTGCAGATGGACTCGGATGGACCTCGGACCGAGGGAGAGCGGGAGAGCTATAGCGGAAGTTCAGCCTGACACCAAGGAGGGGACCTGCGGCATTTGGATCGATTGGGCCTTCCAGGCAACTTTGTTCGGGTCAAGGTCTTCGCGGATTGCATAGCCCAAAATGTGCGCGAGAGCCCTTCAGTGGGATCCATGAGTTAGTGCTAAGACTTGAGTGGCTATTTCCCTGTTCCCTCACTGGTGACTACGGGGGTCGGAGCCTCGCTCGTCCAAACTCTTCAGAATTGCTTTGGAACCCAAAGCCTGGCCCGCAGACTCGGAACGGAAGCCAACCAGGAGATCGCCCGTGACGACACGGCCAAGCGGCGCTTCCGGGTCGCGCTCGACAGGGCCTCGGTGCTGCGGGAGGCAGGCTGCTTACGCGGGCCGGCTGCTCCCCCAACCCAAAATTCACCGCTCAATGGTATGTTTTTGATTGCAAATGCTGAGACAGCGAGACGCTTTCAGGCGCACGACTCCCTCATCCGATTCACCTGCGATCTGTGTCCTGGCCTTGTTTAATCGTTGCGCGCTCAGCTGGCCGTCCTGACCTCCCTGGAAACCGAAGGCCCGTTTTAGCGGTTTGGCACGTTGGCCCCAGGATTCAGCGCCTGCCGAGTGCAGCGTCCGAGTTGTTGGATGGGATCTGCTTGCAAACACCGAAGGCAAGTCTCCAGGGTTTTTCGGATCTTGAGACTTGTGGGGCTTGGTTTCAGGGCTGGGGCTGTTCGGTGCAGTGTCTTAGGGGCTGCGTTTTGTTTTTGCTTTACTAGTAGTTACTTAGGAGTTATGGTAGGATTGGTGCGTGGGCGATGTGAGTAATTCCTTATGTGAAGTTGTCCAGGATCGCTGGGTCATCTGGAGGAGCTGCTTCTGGGGTTTGGGTTCGCTTTGCAAAGTCTAAACTTCTAAGTCTAAACCCTGAACCCAGAACCCCAAACCGTCCGTACTTGACATGTCAAACCATGAGGAGCCATGGAAGGGAAGGTCTAATCACTGCTGGTAGTGGAGGCATTGGATGTTAGGCGGTAGTGTTATAGATTCCTTCTTGAGAATGGCACAGTGTTTCGGTGTTCCCGCATGTTGAGTACACTCCATACGGGGCCTGTGTATGTGCTATATAGTGGAAGGTAAATGTGAATGGGGTAGATTTAGGTAACACAGGCCACAGCCTCAGCCAACTTGGCGTTCGACCTGACTAACAGGCAGGTGGAAAAGAGGTGTCAACAAAATGCCGTCCATACTATCGAGTGGAATTCAATTGAATTCAATTACCTGGCCGCTTGTTCGAGCATGTCGTCAGGTGGGGACAGCTGTCACCGAAAAAGCCTGATCCGGTAACATCCTGCAACGACATGCCTTAATCCTTCTGCTGCCCTTTGCAGGTGCAGGAGCCTGCACGTCACCCGTTGCGGACTCGATGCCTTTTCCAGGCCGGATAGTTGCTGCAAAGCCTGTGCGCCTGATTCGATAGAACGGATTTCCATGTGTGTGCTCGCGCTGGTGCGGCTGCAATAGCGGTTACGACTAAGAAGAGGCGGAGGGTAGAAAGAAATACGGAAACAGACTCAGTCTCGCACTCATCAGGGTGGTGATTATGGTCAAGGTGATGCCGACGATGCTGATGGTGAAAGAATATGCATCGTAACTTTGTACCAGAACGAGACGAGTACTTCTCATCGCAAATAGCACAGTATCCTGAGCAGTTTGACAGAGGCACTGGCAGTAGAAGCAGCAGCAGCAGCAGAAGCACAAGCAAAGCAGTAGCATTAGAAGTAGTAGTCGTCGCAGTCGTCGTCGTCGCCTTATTAGAAGTGGTGGTGGTAGTAGTAGTAGTAGTAGTAGTGGCAGTAGTAGTAGCAGTAGTAGTAGCAGTAGTAGTAGCAGTAGTAGTAGTCGTAGGAGGAGGAGGAGGAGGAGTAGCAGTAGGAGTAGCAATAGTAGCAGTAGTAGTAGTCGTAGGAGGAGGAGGAGGAGTAGCAGTAGGAGTAGCAGTAGCAGCAGCAGTCGTTGCAGGGGTCTCGCCGTCTCGTCTCTTGTGCTACAGTCTTTCGGGCTGTGTTCTGAAGCCTCAACCCCGTCGAACCACATTGCTGCACAAAGGCGAGCAACTTTCGCACTGCCTACATCACGGAGACCGTCTGGAAGCCGAACGGCACCAGGTTGCCGACGGGCAATGCGCGGGCTTCGGATTCGGGGTCCAGGGTGTGTGGGGGTCCTCATGCCCAGAAATCATCTCCAAAGCCCTTTCCTTGACCCTTGAACTCGGAAGCCGAAAAGCCACGAGGCCAAAGCCACAAAAGCTGCAAAGAAGCCCGCATAGCCCGCTCCGCAAACGCCCGCTCCGCACAGAGGTTCCAGAACTTGTTGGCGCCTCCCGGGCCGGAGTCCCGGCCTTGCTGCGGCCTGGGACCCTCCGTGGAGCGCCTCGGCGGCGCAGGGGGCAGCGAAAAAAAGAAAAAGGGGGACACAGGGAAAAGGGGGGGCAGAAAAGGGGCAAGGGGCCCCTGCCCCTCTCTTTCAGGGCCTTGAGGGGAACTTGAGGGGATTTTTGCGGCAAGGTCTCCTTCTCATCCACCGGGACACCCGGTTTGCGCAAGTCGGAGGGCTTCGGTTTCAGCAGGCGGGGGCTTGGCAAGGCAGGAGTGACTGACCAAAAGCATGTGGAGCAGAATTCGAGCCCTGAAGTAGAAACATCATGTCTAAGCCCAGATGAGCATGTGGAGGTTTCCAAGATTGGAAACTCGGTCCTACTGCAGGTCCTGTTTGCACGTTGGCCTATTTCCAACAGAACACCGCTTCTGCTCCAAAGCCGGAGTTCCTCACGACATACCCGCTGCTTGAACACTCGCCCTCTCTTGTCGAGCCCCCGGACCACGGACACCCCAAGGCCCAAGTCCAAAACTCCGATCTCCGAGTGGAGTTTCCGAGTGGAGCTTCGACGAGCCCGGAGCTCCAAGCCCTCCACGTCCCCAGGAGCGGTCAGCTTTCAGCTTGCAAAGCTGAGAAATCTGAAACCTGGAGCCGAAAGGGGCCGTTCAAGCCAAAAAAGCCGGAAGCCTCAAGGTCCATGGACTTCTGCGATGTCCTGCTGGTGGGTTTCCCGGGCTTGATCGACGGGCGCGTGCTGCACGCGCTGCGGTCGCTGCCGCGGCGCACGCTCATTCCGCTCATGCAGGAGCATGGGTTCAGGGTCTTGCGGGTCAAGGGTCCAGCTGCTAGCTGCATCAACTCATGATAATGTATGCATAACACCTTGCAGATGCTGGTGGCTTCTGCGCATCCCGAGGAAAGCATCGTGTTTCAAGGTGTGATCGAATACATCTGGACATCGCGTGTGCGCCTCTATCACTATGTCAAGTCCCTGCAAACAGTCGTCCAGCTTGGCATCCTGCTTCTGTGGTGGCAGACGCATGGTCGAATGCAAAGAATGTTCTTTTGGTAGTCACTCCTCCCGGAGGGTGTTCGGAGCTCAGATCTCTAGGCAGGATTGCATCAGCGCTGCTGGAGTGTTTTGAAGCAGTGCCATCGATATGTTTTTGGTATGCACATTGCTTCTGATGCTCAACGGCATTCTACAGGTCAGGGGCGAAGGTGTGAAAACTGCCTCCTGTGCCCTAGCATAGCCTGCGTCTGCTGAGGACCCGGAGCTAGCAACTTCTGGCCGTCTACTGGGGCCTTTTCACGGGGATTCTGGCAACGCAGCTGTCCAGCCTGGTGCTGTGCCTCTGCCGACTGGAGCTTCCCTACATCCTGGCTGTCTTCCAGTCAGGCGCGTTTGGACACATATGCGAGATCAGGTTTCGCCAGCATTCATCGTCATCCAGCATGTGCAATGTGTTAACGCCTGTCGTGCACCACATGTCGTGAGATTGCCAGCTCTTGAACCATGTCCATCCCAACGCTGTGAGGCTATGCCTTGCGTCTGGTCTCAGCCAGCTGGGGTGCCTGGTACGAACTCCCATTGTCAGAGTACAAGTCGCCCCTCGCAGTCAACGTGGCAATATGTGCCGAGGCTCAATTCGGAACGACATGCAGTTGAGTCAGCGGGAGATTGGGCTCCAGATAGTCTCTGTTGCCCACCTAAGGGACCTTAAGGTTGGAGAGTGCTTTTGCCCTTTCATTGGCCAAAACTCCCAGCCTGTCTACTAATACCAATTGGGGTGATACTCGATCTTACCATTTCTCAGTGCTTTATTCGAAACCCGTCATTTTCCCAAGTTCTCTGCAGTTTCCGGGCGGTGCCTGCAGTCCTACGTTCCTGCAGCACCTGCAGGCTCAAGTTCTTGCAGTCATAAAGAAACCGTAAACTCTGAGAGGGAGAGGAGCCCAATTCATACGCTTCAATACACACTCGCTCTTGCAATCCCTCTACTTCCAGTCTCTCCCGAGAAGGACTAACTTGTACTGTAGTCTTGCTGCTTAGAAACTCCTCTTGCGGTGCATTCCGGGCCAAGTGCTCTCCGAAAATAATATCAAGTACTAGGGTGAAGTCTTAATAATGTGCGGAAGAGATGATTTAAATATATATGTATATATATATATACACAAACACATACTATATATTTTTGTGTGTGTGTGTAGGGTAGTTGTACGTGTATATATGTATATATATATAGATACATACATACATACATACAAACAAACAAGCGCATACGCATTTACATTTACAGGTTTGTTTGTATTTATAGTGATATTGATATTTATGCTTTTGTACTCTTACATGTGACCTTCGTCATCTGCATCTCTGTCGCTGGCTCTGCATCCATTTCTTCATCTCTGGAGGGTCCGCCTTTCTGTGGTCTGTTTCCAACCCTTCGCACCTCTCTCTCTCTCTCTCTCTCTCTCTCTCTCTCCTCTGCCTTCTTTTCTTCTTCTGGTCTGTTTCTTTTCCCTGAGTTTTGAGGCAAATACAGGCAGTTCGAGGGGGGCATATATCGAAGCTTGTGCTGTCCCAAAATCGAGATAGGGACCATCTGAGGTATAACTGTTATTGTCTACGACTGCCGCGTTCTGAAGCCTTTTGGCCTTCCTGTCGGCCAAAGCCTGCTTCCAATCCTCAACGCTGCCGGCAGCCTGGAGTTTGCGGCTATGTCAGCAGTGATAAGTCTGGCGCTTCTGGCCACGTTCCTCTACGTCTGCATTGAGTTTGAGGATGCTTGACAGAACAGGCCATTGTGGAGCTTGTTTGCAAGGGTTCCTTAGGTCTTGTCCACGCCTATCTAAGATTGCAGCTGAAAGTTCCGTAAGCTGAGGAAGACCTGGGATTTCCCTCCAATGCCTTCCAGACCTGGCAAACTCTGATTGTGGGTGAACCAACGTTGGTCGACGCACGAATTTCCCCGCAGGATGCGATTCGCTACCTTTCCGTGTCTGCATGTTTCCTTGTGTGCAACACCGTGTTGATGAACATCTTCATCAATGTGACGGGTGCGTCGTATCTGCAGGAAAGAGCCAGTGTTGTGGGCACATTTGCTGTGGAGCGGTTGCATATTTGTGTGGCAAGCACGTCAGTCTCCACTTGTGTGCGGCGATCTGTCGTGGGAGCCTTTACTCTCGTCTGGTCGCTATGGCTCACCTACATTCTGCTCACCGCCGAGTTCTCGGGCGCTGTGCCAGTGATCGTTGCCATAGCCACCTTCCACGCTACGTTCTTCTGTGCCGGGCGCGCAGCGAAGGCAGCCGTGGCGGACTTAGATTCAGAGCTCTCCGAGCTGCGGTATTTGTGGATCTGCCGCCGGGCCAATCGCCCGGGCGCCGCCGTGGCCTCGCAGACCCGGCCCGGGCAGCAGAGTGCCCTGGAGCAAGTCAGGGCACTCCAGGCCCGCTTCGGGAAGGCACAGGACGAAACCGAGTCGGTGGTGCAAGTTTGAGCTTAGGATGCTCTTCTAGTCTTCGGTGCCGGAAAGCATTCAAGTGCAGCTTCACTTAGTGGCAGCACTGTTTGCTTCGCGGCACGTAAATGCCCAAATGCTTTGCAGGATTTGGTGAGTTTTCAAGCTCGGCGGCCGGATGGCGAAAGGTTCAATCCAGCGCGCTTAGAGAAGCCACGCAAAAGCGTTCAAAGCTTCGCCCGGCAAGGGCAGGAAACACGAGACGAAATGCTATTTTTCGGCGAGCTTTCGGGTTGACGGTTCTTAATTTGTTGGCTTTGGGCAAAGTCCAACCAGGTGCTCAGAGTCAGTCAGCACTCATCCAAGGTGAAACTTAATCTCCACTTGTCGAAAACTAGATCGCACTGCGATTGACCCCCTTGAGATTCAGCAGGTCACGGTCACACTGTGAAGAGCCAGCGTCGAGGAAACAACGGCCTTTGTTGGGAAATCAGTGTTCGTGATGTCGAACTCAAGCTGTACAGGCGGAGAATATCGAAGATTCGCGGTTCCGGCTTCTCCAAGATCAGATGGATCTTGTGCTTCCCGATAGTAGCCAGAACTTCGTAGGTCAACGGCATGTAGTGGTCTTGGAAGCAGTGCCGTGGTGAATGGTGAGATCTGCCCCTGTGACAGGCCGTTGGGCCCAAGAAGCAGAAAACATGGCACCAGCAAACATGTCAGCTGCCTGCAGCGGCAGGCGCAAATGTTGTACCCGAGTGGCTTGAATTAGGCTTGGTAAGCCGAGAAGCTGCAGCGCGTGTTTAAACCCACTCATCTTTGAGCCAGCAACAGTTCCAGCTCCAAACGCGGTTCCGTCAACGCGGATCAGCCACTAAGATCGCCAGCGACGTTATGACAGGCTTCAAGATTTCGCAGGAACGGGCTGCACAAGCGTGCCCACCTCTGTATATCGACTCTGCCGCCATGGGCGGAGGGCCCGGGACTTGGAGATAAGGTCTCGGCTTCCCAAAAAGCCCAGCGCAGGATTTTCCTTGCATTTGGTCGCTTGTGCGATCTTCGGCTGCGTCCAGACATGGGGTAGTGGGTGAGGGCGTGTGTTGCTCTTTGTCTGTGCAACCGTCTGCCTTGTGGGCTCAGTTTTAAGAGCCTTTGCTTGGTGTTTCTTTGCAGAGTTCTGAGTCCTCCGCGCTGGGTGCAGCATCGAAACTGCAGGTACAATGACGGCAAAGGTCGAAAGGCAGCTCTGGCCCGCGACGGCCGTGGAAGGGGTTCCAGTCGGGGCTGCGATGAGACTGAGATTGGTTCTTTGGCCATGCCTCCGTTCAACACGATTATTTTTTCGTCAGAACCGCTCCCGGTTCTGAGGCTGCTCGCTACGAAGCCAGAGGGTTTGTGTTCAGACTCCTGCGCTGGTTTTCCTTTACTATAGCATCATAGGCCTCTGGAACAGGTTGTCAAGACCTCATTGGGGCCCGGCCCATGATCGAAGCCCAGCTTGCGAAGCTCATGGAGATGCTCGATCCTCATAACACAGTGCGAGGTATGCACGTGCAGGTACTTTCCTCCCAATCTGTGATTAGGCCTCGCAAGTCGGTGTGTCCCTACATATCTCCACCGAATCCCTTCGCCACTTGTGCTCTCCCTTCACGCCAGGGAGGAGGAGGCGCGTTCCAGTCTCCGTGCACGGAAGGGTGCTGGGCTCGAAGGCTTTCCAGGAAGTGCTGTTTCAGGGAAGTGCGGAAGTAGGGATGCAGGGTAAACGGGTAAACATCCACGTTCCTGGGCGTCCGTCAAGCTCTAAAAGTCAACCATGGAGGCTCCTTGCGACAAGACCTCATGTAAAATGACTCCCTACACCGTTCAATCCTACCAGAGACCCTGTTTGTTTTTTGAAGTGCCGTCTAGGGTTGTCATGTCTTCGGTCCTCAAGTCCTCAAGTATTCCGGTCTTGTTGTCTTTTTCAGGCTTTGGGCTTTCTCTGCTCTAAGCTGGATTTGGTTTCGGTGATTTGAACATGCGGAGCTCCGCCTGGCAAACCAGAAAAAAGCTTTGCTTCCTAAGCAGCTGGTGCAGGCAAAGGTGGAGAGCGCCGCAGCCCTCCCCACGCCCGGCACTGTCGCGTTTCCGGGATGTAAGACTTCAGTCAAGACTCAAGCGGGTTGGGGTTGATCGACAAGGGCTTATAGCTTGTACTGGCTTCGGGTTTCACATTGCCAAAGGTCTTTTGTAAGGTTCACTTGAACCTACGATGGTTTCATGTCTGCAAAGGAACCGAGGACTTGCAGCGCTGTGTTTACAAGGGCAGTGGATCTTTACAAGCTTGAGTGTTTGTGGTTGAGGCATGTTGTGGAAAGCAGAGCCCCCGATCACCAAACAACTTGCACGACCAGAGGCCGCATTCCAGCCCGACGAATGTCTTAGCGGATGCCAAAACTCGCAGCTGCCAGTTCGTTCCTGCGCGGGGCGGCGGCGAGTGGGGTGCGCCTGCGAAGCTTGTAAAGCAGTAAAACACTGCAAGTCACGAACCTTAGGCACGCAGCGTTCCTGTTGGAAACTGTGCTTGGCTTGACTGGCATTTTCCTCGTGGAGGAGTCTTGCTCTGCTTAGGGTTGTCGGCTTCGGGTCAGGAAGACTCATTCCTCTCATGATACCTTGGGTGCAGTTCTCCAAATAAGGTTCCCTTTTAGGGTCCTTTTTATGAGGGTTCCGTAATGAAATGGGGATATAAAAAGGGACCCAAGTGTGTGGCCCACGTGTTGCTCTTTAGGCAGTGCAGATGCCCAAGGTGCCCTCCCCACGGCAACGGAGTTGATCTACCATCCTTATCATCGCCGCATGGTTTCACACGTTCCACGTCTTGTGCAGGCTGCAAGGGGATACAAGCCATGACAGAACATGAAAGACAGTACATGCAGGCAGCGCAGACAGACCTTCACAGTGTCACATCAAGCCAATTTGCGAAAGAAGGAGAGGGTCCGCCCGAAACCGCCGGCGATCAAACCTGAACCGTGTCGTTGGATGCAGCCAGGTAAGAAGGCAAGGCAAGCACAGCAGGCGGCGATAAAGGACGAGAAGACAAAGCGGGAGGTGTCGATGGGCTTTTCGGCCTTGCACGGGCTTCATTTTTGTCTAGGCTTCCATTGGCTGTTCCTGATGGTTTCGTTTGCAACGTGTCGGGCGGGGAACTTGAGACCGCATCTTCAGGGACTCGTGTGATCGCGGCATCGGCCCACGATGAGTCAAGGAAGCCACCGAAGCTGTCAACGGCAAGACTTGGCCTGTGCAAGGTGGATTACTTCTGGCAGCAGCAGGAGTACTGCGCGCAGGCTCCAGCCATCAGGGTTCGGGTGATGGGCGCCCTTCAACCGCGACTTCTGTATGCCAGGGAAAAGGAAACCGAAAAGGCAAAGGCTATCAGGACCCGGCGCGGCTTCGCTTGTTTTCAGACCGTCCTCGCCAAACCCCAGCCCCAGGGCACCCGCTCAGGATTCTTTGTTCCAGGAAACTGAGTGCACTCAGCTTAAACTTGGTGAAGCTTTTCAGAGGAGACAGCCGAGCAGCTTTTCGGCGCCCAGCGGGAGAATGTCGGCATCGACTTCGACAAGTGCCCGCGTTTGTTCCCGAGGGCGGAATGAGGCGGAAAGACTGCGAGCTCGGAGGTACGATGATATCCCCGTCGACCTCTCGGGCCAAGGCGTCGGCGCCTCGGAACCTCTCCGGGTTTGTTTTCGAGATCCGAGAGAGCTGAGCCCAAGGCCGATGAGATCGAGGGCCTGGAGAGCTTCGACGAGCTCTGGGACCGCAGAGACAGAGACCACAGCCGAGAAGCCACCGGTTTCCACAGAAGTGTTGCGCAACTACGCAACAACTACGCAGACCCAGAAGCTTGACCCTGCGTATCGCTCAAAACTCTTGAAAGCCCGAAGTGCCGAACCCAACGTGACAGGACCGGTTCTACATGCATGATTTCCTGTGGGACAACCTTGAGAGGTGCCATTATCGCAAGCTCCGACCTCAGCAAGCGTGAATTAGCTTTCAGGGCGTAGACTCCCATCTGGCAAGTGGACTGTCGTGAAGCATATGGCTGCCTGAACGTGTCTGCCTGATCCGGATAGTCGCAGTTTTGGAAGTCAGCAAGCCAGGCCCACTCCCATCCAAAAATTTGCGCTTCCAGCGGCACTGACAGGGAAGGCGTGTGCGGTGTCAGGGGATGTTGAGTGCAGATTCGATGCTGTCTTTTTTCCGCTGTGTGTTGCCAGGGTTGTCCGGTTCAGGACCGTTATGGGTGGTGCAGCCCAAGTACCTGGCTGAACAGCCTGAACAGCCTGGGTCGAACCTTTCAACAGCATCTGAAAGACGTGCACCGGTTTCCGAAGCTCAAGTCCAGAGTGCCCGGCAACTCGTGGAGGACTGCATGTGCTGCGCGCAAACCGGCTCAGGCAGGGGGAAGAGTCGGAACTCCGAGATTTGTGAGGTGCTGTTTAGCTTCGGGCTTGGACCTCCAGCCACGATCTGACAGTGTGCTGAAAACCACCACGCAGCAAATAAGACATTAAAAGACGTCATGTCGTCACAGGCAAGACCTGTGCCTTCCTCCTTCCCATCCTCAGCTGCCTGGACCTCACGCAGGTGCGAGGGATTCCGGAGATTTTGCAGGCTTCACGACCGACATGACCCGTGTAGAAGAAGTCTCTGCACTGGAATCCACGCGCCAAGCCTCAGTAGCCTTGGTGCTTGACTCCAAAAACCCTTCAAGCTCTCGTAGCCCCGAGATGCCTTGCAAGGCCGCAGGCACCGTGGGTATAAGCTGGGGAGAGCCATCGGCACCCAAGGCCATTTTGTCGCACTCGTCTTCTGGTGGCTGTCTTTCTACGTAGCCTGAGCCGACTCGACTTAGTGTACGAGGTTGCTGGGGATCGCAGGGCAGGGTGCCGAGTCAGATTCAAGTATCATCATGAGGTCTGACCGGGCGTCGCAATCAAAACCAGAGGGTGCATCGAGCTGCCATTATACTCCTAGACACAAAGCGGTCTTGAAGCCTCTCGCTGCTGGTGCTTCTGAAGTTGGAAGTTGCTGTAGTAGACGCTGATGATGATGGTGATGATGATGACGATGATGATGATGGTTTCAATGTAAGAGCCGACCTCGGTGTTGCGAAGAAGGCTGTTCCGGCTTCATCTTCACGATCACCAGCATCCTCAGCATCATGTTCACCCTTGCAGCGTTGGACATAGTTGAATGGTGGAAATACATCAACACAATGTGCATAATAATCTTTATTGGCAGGGGAAATGAACCAGCAGAGGAACATCAATTTTGTCTCCCTGTTGGGCGAGGCCGTGGTCCTGGCTCCGACGCGTGAGCTCTGCTCCCAAATCCACCTCGAGGCTGCTTCAGCTTCGCGTCGCCATCTCTCTGGTGCGAACTCGGGTCTTCCGGTCTTCGTGGGGGCACTCTTCAGCCCGTAGCCCTTTGGAGGCGGTTGGGTTTCATGCCGGAAGATGCGGGCGGAGGTGCACTCGTGTCACTCTCCGGCTTCCCCCAACAGTCGCGGAGAAGCCTTTCCAAGACTCAAACATTGAAAGGCCGGATTTTCCCGGAGTCACGATCGTGTACAGTGTCGATCAATGTGAGCCGAAGCCGATTTGATGAAGGGGCCTGCGCCCCGCCCTCTGTGAGGCCAAGAAGCTGTCCTTCAAATCTCCGGTGCTGCCGACATGCGTTTGAGGGAACTTCGGTAGCATCGGTTTTTTGAGCGCCCATCCCGCAGTCCCCAACCCTTCCTGAATCTGTAGCCACAGTATGTGCTCGAGATCTGTCCCGCAAAGCCCCACCGCAACACCGAAGCTCTTCAGCTATAAATTATAAACTACAAGCCCGGCAGCCTACAATGCGAACCGTTGCGAACCCTGTCAGCCCCGAGCGGTCCAAGCTCACGCAGAGCGAAGCCTTCGTCAGGTGCGAGCTGGTGAAGTCTACGGCGGCGTGGACGCCAGACACTGAACATTCAATGACTTCGTCTGAAGTCGGCGGTGCTTTCCTGAAGGGTCCTGGGTGTTTTCGGGTTTGCGAGATCGGCACACTTCGGGTTCATGACTGTAGATCTGCGGGTTTTGGAAACACAGCAGCGAGAAGTTGGGGCAGATCCCAAAGCGTCTGAGGCGAAGCCGCAGCTGCTTGACCTCGCTCGAGGAACGGCCGGCTCTACCCAGGGTTTATCGGTTCGTCACTGCCTTCGTGCGAGCTCGTTTTCTCATCCCCAACGCTCCTATCCCAATGTGTAACTTGAGGCGAGACACATCAGAAAAAAATCTCGGCGGCCAGTTTGGGGATGGGGATGTCTAGATTGTGCGCGAAGCCAGAGAGAGGAAAGAGGGAAGCGTCCAGCGCGGAAGGGAGCAACACTTCCAAAAGAAGCCTCAAACTCCAGGCAACAGCAAGCCGGTCACCCAACATCCTGCAACTGGCGAGCAGGAGTCGATATTGTGACGGCCACACCCGGCAGTGGCCTTGGGGAACTTCTGGTGGCCACTGCAAGGGCTCAAAAACGGCTGGTAAGCCCAGCTCCATGAGGCCGGCTCACGGACTTCATCGACCGCGGTGTCATCACCATGTGCCGCGCTCGGCACGTGTCAGGGGATGTTTGCTGGAGTTCCGGCTATTTCCGGACCCAAGAAGACCACGAGTTGAGGTTCATGGCTCGGGCCCGGGTGCGGAGGTTTGTCTCGCGGAGTCGGGCTACTGGAAAAAGGGAAGGAGCCACCTGGCATCCGAGCCCCGAAACTCCGAGCTCGGAAATCCTGCGCCCCCGGGACCTGCTATTACGCCCCTTTTTCCCAGCGCGTCGCAACAGAGGTGCAATGTGGGCTTCCTGGTGCTGGACGAGGTGCCGTCCTTCATAGATAGCCTTAAACTTGAAGCGCTGTGAAACGTCCAAGCGATGCTTGCGCAAAGCTTCGTTAGAAGCCTCAAAGAAAGACTGAAGGTCCGGAACGAGCCGGGTTCTATGTTTTTGTAAGGGTGAGGGTCTCTGTGCCCGGGAACGCTAAAGCGGAAGTTCAGAGAATTGGGGTGAAGTATCTGGGTGTTGAGGAAGTCGAGCCTTCAGTGCAGCAACAGGGGGGGGGCAGAGAAGCATAGAGTAGGCTCATGGACTTGATCGTTGATTTGGAGCTGATCCTGAACTCTCGGTTCACCGGGCTTTGGGATCAAGTGCCTTGGGCGTCGTGGCATCAGCTCCGTTAAATGGTAGGGATAGGATTCCCAAATTGTCCACACGACATGTTGCCCTGGCTTTGACCTTCCTGGCGTAGTTCATTGGATGGAGGCCGACCGCATGCTGGACATGGGCTTTGAGCCGCAGATCCGCGAGATCGTTCAAAAGCGTGTGCGCTGGCTGAGCGTGCTCTCATGCGGTCGCAAAGTTTAAGTCTTACCGATTTGTGGCTTAAGAGGTCACGCGACAGATTATGTTGCATCGTACTTTCACCAAGCTAGTTTTCAGCAGCGGCTGCATACGACATGCACTTTTAAGGGGTTTAAACGGGGCATGGGCTCTGGAACAACAGAATCATCGGTTGGGGTCTACCAACTAGTCTTTGAATCGCACACACCTCTGTACTGAAAGCATCCCGGGGTCAAACGAGAACGACTTGACTTGAGCCTTGGGTGCATTGCCTCTCATAGTGTGCACAAAATCCAGCATTTTTAAAACAGCTACAGCAATTCTCGACACAGGGTGTGCAGGATACGTGGGGCCCGTCAACGATAAGCAAGTCACCTGCTTCCATGTAGATTCATTATCCCGCTGTCCTGACACGCTAGGAAACCCCGGCCGTTTGTGCCAGGACATGCCAACCTGTCGGGAGGCCAGCGTCACGGTTGGGCTTGCTGAGAGGTCTGGGCTTCTCCCGTCTCTACCTCAAGTAGTAACTAGTGATCATTGCCTGAGCTGCTCCTGTAGAAGCCGCCACGCTTGGTGATGGAACTGCTGTGGCAAGGACCCAGAGCTTTCAATCTTTGGTCCCAGTAAAGGAACCCCGATAGCCAGCCCCACTCGTAACACTAGGAATACTGTAGGTATCCGACAAGGACTCCCTCCCACGAAGTCCTCTCAGGGCCGCATGACGCTGATGTTCTCCGCGACCTTCCCCAAGGAGATCCAGAAGCTCGCGCAAGCCTTCATGAGGCCGGGAGGGAGCACAGCATAACCTTTGATTCTTTTAAGGTATAGCGAATCCCAGACAGGTGGAACATGGGTTCAGGAGGATTAGTGCTGGGATCCCTTAATCATGTTCCAACTTTCTGGCTTCCACTCAGGAGCTACATCTGGATCGGCGTCGGGCGTGTGGGTGGCGCGGTGGACACGGCGAGAGGCCTCAGAAGCGACTATGGGAGGACTCGGCTTTGTTCACTTAGGAGCACCTGCACACGGGCTTGCGGGCCTGCCTAAAACCTGGGGGCGAAAACCCGGAGCTCTCAGGTGGAGCAGACCTTCATCGTCACCGGCAACCGAGGCACGGGAGCTCTGGGAGCTTGGGAAGAAGTTCGGTGGCCGCCGGCATACTGTAGACTCCTTGTAGATTCTTCTGAAGCCTGCAAGAGCACTGTCTGTGTTCCCAAAGAGTCCTCCTGCTTGCAATCCGACCTGCCGAAGGCAAGCCTGATGTCTTGACCAAGGCTGCTGGGGAGGGGCTTATCTACCGTGCCGGGATTTTGTGTAATTTGTCGGGTTTGGTTTCTACGAAGTCTACACATGCGACGATGGGCATCGCGGCGAGATCACTTTGAATCTTGACGATGCTAGATGACTAGCCGTTCTTCCTGCTCCCCTTCTCTTCAGAACTGCAGCTTGGGACAACAGGCAGGTTGGCAGTTTTTTTTTTGGGGGGGGGAAGACCTTCTTCGGCAGGTCCTCAACACGAACCCCACGGACTCCACCTTGATCTTCGTGGCCATGAAGCGCACGGCCGCCTGGTTGGAGGCTCTGGTGCCGGGAGGTTGTAGCCGGGGCGGATGGAGAGTGAGGAGTTGGGGCCTGACATGCCAATGTCATGGTGTGAGTGTTTCAGGAGTTTCAGAGGTTTGAAGGCACGGATTGGGTGTCCGAAGCTTTGCTTTGGGCCTTGGGTGTGCAGGCCTGCATCTGTTGAGGTTCTACAGGCAGAAGGTTGAAGCGATTCATATGGTAGGGCCGGTGGGCCTCCTTTCGCAACTTTAAAGGAAGACCTCTATGCAGAACAAGCTAACGGTATCCCCTGTAGCTCAAACTGACGAAGAAGCCGGCAGGCACGCGAGGCCCTAGCAAGGCCAAGCCGCACACTTCCAACCCGAAGCCAAGACTCTTGAAGTAGACTCCTGATTTGCGGGCCGTCTTTCTGTAAAGACCCTAAGACCCTAAGAGTAGTCTCCTCACTTTTCAGGGAGGGAGTTGAGTGATCTCATCGCCGTCCTAAATGTCACACCTAATCCGAGTTGCCGACTCCGGTCGACTGTCCTCTGTCCTTGGTACTGGTTTGCGTTTTGGGCCCAAACCCCGAATCGTAAGACTGTCTGTGGCGTGGTGTCAGGGGCATCTCACTCGCATGGGCTACAACGCCGCGGCAATCCATGGTGACATGGACACAGCTGCTTGGGAGTGTGTGCGCGTGGTGCTTGCGCGTTTTGTTCTGTCAAGCCCCTAAACCCTAAACCCTAAACCCTACATGGAGGTCCAGGCTCGTAGGAACAGAGGGAATGCCAGCGAGGAGCAGCGGGAGCGCGAGCAGTCCCTCTCCACATTCAAGAGGCTGCCTACTGGGGCTGGGCTTGGGCTTACCGAGCGCTTTTTGGTTTGACCGAGTTGGAGCTTTGTTGGTCCATATAGTATATAGTATATAATATATAACATATAGTATATA